TGTATGTGTGTGTGTGTGTTTGTGAGTGTGTGTGTGAGTGTGTGTGTTTGTGAGTGTGTGTGTGAGTGTGTATGTGTGTGTGAGTGTGAGTGTGTGTATGTTTGTGAGTGTGTGTGTGAGTGTGTGTGTGTGTGTATGTTTGTGTGTGTGAGTGTGTGTGAGTGTGTGTGTATGTTTGTGAGTGTGTATGTGTGTGTGTGTGTGTGAGTGTGTGTATGTTTGTGAGTGTGTATGTGTGAGTGTGTGTAGGTGTGTGAGTGTGTGTGTATGTGTGTGTGAGTGTGTGTGTATGTGTATGTGTGTGTATGTGTATATGTGCGTGCGTGTGTGTGTGTGCATGTGTGAGTGTGTGTGTGTGTGTATGTGTATGTGTGTGATTCTTCTACCTGTAGTGCGGGATTTTGGGGGTGATTTGTAAGAGCACCCTCCAAAATTAGAGATTAGGCTGGGTGTTGTTTTTCTAGATTCCAGCTAAAATTGGCTGACCACTGAACGATGGCAGACATTTGGTTCCATGTCCTTTTGTAACTCCGCAGAGGCAACTGTTTGTCCATTTCCCACGAGCTGGCCAGATGGGCCTGCAGGGGTGTGTGGAATCCTGGATATAAAACCATTGTGAATCTTGCTGATATGCTGGCTGTCTTGACTGTTTACTGCTCACAATTTTATATCTTTTATTGGTTGTTACCAGATGCCAGGAATTCTTCCTGAGCAATCTGGGAATGGCCTCACCTGGGGCACTCACTGGTCAGCCCTCGGCTCAGTGGGGCGTGGGCATGGGCCTGCGGGGCCTTACGCTCTCCCCACTGGCCCCAGTGGAACTGGACCAATGCCACATCCTGTTCTCAGTTCCAAATGCAGGAAGTGTGAGGCTCCTGAGCAACGCGGCCACCCCCAAAGGGAAGCGGGTGCCACAGACAAGTGTTTGTTTGAGGGGTGAAGTTCTCAGGGATTGAGGTGGCCCCTTCCAGCTAAAGGCATTTGGAAGCATGGTCACATGGTTTATGCTTTTCAACTATTTTTCTCACAATTATTGGCTTTAAATTTTTTTAGCAGCTGGAGTCATTTAAAAAATGTTAAAATTTTGCTTTTTTAAACAGCTTTATTGACATGTAATTCACATACCAAGCAATTCATCCATTTAGCCTTGTGCAACCACTGGGCTCTCGTTAAAGACTAACCATCTGTGAGCAACTCGTGGTGTCAGGACAGGCAGGAGAGGGACTCCCTACTCGGCCCTGAGGGTTGGTGGCCTCTCTGGGCTGACCACCGGTCCCCCCCGTGGCCACTGCCTTCCCAGGTCACTTCAACCCCCACGGCCCTACTGACCCCACGGCGGGCATTGGGACTAGAGCCAGAAGAGCCTCTCTTTAGAAACGGGGAGTTCTCTACAGACTTCCTGGTTCTCACTGGGCAGCTGCGAAGAACTGAGACACATTCATGCTGCCTCAAGGCCAAAGAGGTTATTGTAAGTTTCAACAGATGGTCAGCGTGGGCAGAATCTTATTAAAGCCTCTGCAAGGAGTCGGTAAACTGCAGTATTTGTGGGAGGGAGTTTTATGGTGGAACAAAATGTTGACTGGAGAGTATCATAAGGGAGACCAGCCTGGCAGACGTCCCAGCAGGGGTTCAACCCAGCAGGTGTCAGGGGACAGCACACCGCTTCCCTGGGAGGGTCTCATGAGTTCAGTGGAAAGGACTGTAGCACAGTAACCCCGTGGCTCTGTGACCATAGTATGGCCTTCTAGAAGGGCAATCCTTTGGGGTTTGGAAACTTGTCCCTTTTCACTCTGGTGTAGACTACTGGTTCCCCCATATCCGTGCACCTCACTGGGGCCCGCTTCTCCGAAGTCTTCCACCTGCTTCTCCTGGTCACTCCCCTTTCTGCATCTCATGGGGTCCCTGTGCTGCTGCCCACAGGCCACTGCTGACTTGGACATCCTTCCCTATTGGGCCTTGGGCCTCACTCACTGCTGTTGTATCACTTATTTAAAAAAAAAAAATAAAAATAAAAAAAAATATATATATATATATAATTGATTTCAGAGAGGAAGGGAGAGGGAGAGATAGAAACATCAATAATGAGAATCATTGATTGGCTGCCTCCTGCATGCCACCTACTGGGGATGGAGCCCTCAACCTGGGCATCTACCATTGACTGGAATCGAACCCGGGACCCTTCAGTCCACAGGCCGATGCTCTCTATCCATTGAGTCAAACCAGCTAGGGCTATCACTTTTTTCCCCCCACATTTATTTATTTAGTTAGTTATTTTGCACTTAACCGTACAATATGCAAACTAAATCTATTACCAGGTTGTAGATACAATATAATTAGCTATTTACATGCAATAAACATTAATATTTCAAGAAAAATTATTTTAAATATAATAATATTATATCACTTATTTTTAAAAAAATATTTTTATTGATTTCTGACAGGAAGGGAAGAGAGATAGAAACACCAATGATGAGAGAGAATCATTGATTGGCTGCCTCCTGCACACCCCACATTGGGGATTGAGCCCGCAACCCAGGCATTTGTCCTGACTGGGAATCGAACTGTGACCTCCTGGTTCACAAGTTGACACTCAACCACTGAGCCACGTCAGCTGGGCTGTTCTATCACTTCTTAAGGATCAGCTATTCCCACCTGTCACAGGACGGGGGGAGCATCCGGGAGAGAATTACTTGAAGAACAAGGGTGAAGTGAGTGGGGGAAAAGCTTATCTAGTGTCCGTGTGTGTGCAGTGTCCACAGTGTGTGCATGGTGTGTGCTTTGTGTGTGCAGTGGCATCAGTGTGTGCATGGTGTGTGCTTTGTGTGTGCAGTGTCCACAGTGTGTGCATGGTGTGTGCTTTGTGTGTGCAGTGTCCACAGTGTGTGCATGGTGTGTGCTTTGTGTGTGCAGTGTCCACAGTGTGTGCATGGTGTGTGCTTTGTGTGTGCAGTGTCCACAGTGTGTGCATGGTGTGTGCTTTGTGTGTGCAGTGGCCACAATGTGTGCATGGTGTGTGCATGGTGTGTGCAGTGTCCACAGTGTGTGCATGGTGTGTGCTTTGTGTGTGCAGTGTCGACAGTGTGTGCATGGTGTGTGCTTTGTGTGTGCAGTGTCCTCAGTGTGTGCATGGTGTGTGCTTTGTGTGTGCAGTGTCCACAGTGTGTGCATGGTGTGCGCTTTGTGTGTGCAGTGGCCACAGTGTGTGCATGGTGTGTGCTTTGTGTGTGCAGTGTCGACAGTGTGTGCATGGTGTGTGCTTTGTGTGTGCAGTGTCCACAGTGTGTGCATGGTGTGTGCTTTGTGTGTGCAGTGGCCACAGTGTGTGCATGGTGTGTGCTTTGTTTGTGCAGTGTCCACAGTGTGTGCATGGTGTGTGCTTTGTGTGTGCAGTGTCCACAGTGTGTGCATGGTGTGTGCTTTGTGTGTGCAGTGTCCACAGTGTGTGCATGGTGTGTGCTTTGTGTGTGCAGTGGCCACAGTGTGTGCATGGTGTGTGCTTTGTGTGTGCAGTGTCCACAGTGTGTGCATGGTGTGTGCTTTGTGTGTGCAGTGTCCACAGTGTGTGCATGGTGTGTGCTTTGTGTGTGCAGTGTCCTCAGTGTGTGCAGGGTGTGTGCTTTGTGTGTGCTGTGTCCTCAGTGTGTGTATTGTGTGTGCAGTGTCCACAGTGTGTGTGCTTTGTGTGTGCAGTGGCCACAGTGTGTGCATGGTGTGTGCTTTGTGTGTGCAGTGTCCTCAGTGTGTGCAGGGTGTGTGCTTTGTGTGTGCTGTGTTCTCAGTGTGTGTATTGTGTGTGCAGTGTCCACAGTGTGTGTGCTTTGTGTGTGCAGTGTCCACAGTGTGTGCATGGTGTGTGCTTTGTGTGTGCAGTGTCCACAGTGTGTGCATGGTGTGTGCTTTGTGTGTGCAGTGTCCACAGTGTGTGCATGGTGTGTGCTTTGTGTGTGCAGTGTCCACAGTGTGTGCATGGTGTGTGCTTGGTGTGTGCAGTGTCGACAGTGTGTGCATGGTGTGTGCTTTGTGTGTGCAGTGTCCTCAGTGTGTGCATGGTGTGTGCTTTGTGTGTGCAGTGGCCACAGTGTGTGCATGGTGTGTGCTTTGTGTGTGCAGTGTCCACAGTGTGTGCATGGTGTATGCTTTGTGTGTGCAGTGTCCACAGTGTGTGCATGGTGTGTGCTTTGTGTGTGCAGTGTCCACAGTGTGTGCATGGTGTGTGCTTTGTGTGTGCAGTGGCCACAGTGTGTGCATGGTGTGTGCTTTGTGTGTGCAGTGGCCACAGTGTGTGCATGGTGTGTGCTTTGTGTGTGCAGTGGCCACAGTGTGTGCATGGTGTGTGCTTTGTGTGTGCAGTGTCCACAGTGTGTGCATGGTGTGTGCTTTGTGTGTGCTGTGTCCTCAGTGTGTGCATGGTGTGTGCTTTGTGTGTGCAGTGTCCACAGTGTGTGCATGGTGTGTGCTTTGTGTGTGCAGTGGCCACAGTGTGTGCATTGCGTGTGCAGTGTCCTCAGTGTGTGTGCATTGTGTGTGCAGTGTCCTCAGTGTGTATTGTGTGTGCTTTGTGTGTGCAGTGGCCACAGTGTGTGCAGGGTGTGCAGTGCGCTCAGTGCATGCAGAGTGTTAAGTGTCTGCAGGGTGCACATTTCCCTTCCTGGGCAAACCCTCAGGGTCTCTGGCATCCACCTGAGCGTGTCCCTCCCCACAATGGTGCCGCTGTGTCCTGACCGGGTTCTTTCCACTGGACATGCTTTGCTGGTGTGCCTTGGCTCTTCCAGCGCCCCAGGAGGCTTCCCCACCTGCCGTGTGGAAGGGCACCGGTGCTGTGCGGCGGGGACAGTGTGGCCTGCGGATTACTGTGTCTCTGGGCCACAAGCCTCTTCCCTAGCGAGCGGCCTCAGGCGAGACATGTGATCTTCCTGAGCCCAGTGAGGATCAGTGACCCCCTGGGACTCCATGGGGTAGAGCAGGTCAGGTGTCAAGGGGTACGTGGTGACTCCAGGACAAATCCTTGCACATGTCCTCTCTGGACAAAGGCTCTGTGCCCTTTAACTCAGAGGTCCTGAGAGGTGGTGCCAATCACGACAGTGAGGGACAGCCCTACACTATGGGGCGCCCCGTCCCAGCCTGTCCCTTCCCTGATCTGGTCACCGTGTCTCCCTCGGGTGTCCCAGCCCAGGGACTATGGCCTGAACCCCCTGCCGAGTTCCTGGAACCCAGGCGGGCCCTCTAAGTGTCCTCTTTCGTGGGGCTCCTCCCCTTCTGTGGGGGCGGAGTGCCAGGATGTACTACCTCTCGGCCCCCACCCAGGATGTGTCCCTGGGGTGTGAGTTCAGGGGTCTCAGTCAGGCCAGTCTCCAGGGACCCCTGACCTGCTCTCACCTCCACCTGTCAGATCCCTGCCCACTTCCCAGAGAAGGGCTCTGCCTCTTGGCTTCCCCTGGCTTTGGGCAGTGGGTAGTGTGGCAGGGGGCCAGCGGGGAGTAGAGTCTGATGATCCACCCACCCAGGGCCTGCACGGGCCGGCACACAGCACAGGGCCCAGCCTGTGGCACATGAGGGGCAGAGGGTATAGCCACTTCGGTTCAATAGGAGCTGTTACATGGATGATGCTGAGCTGAGGTGGGTGGGGTGGGTGGCATCGGTCCCTCCTGTGCCCCTGACGGGGGGGCTCACTGGTTCCCCTGCCCACAGGCGCTTCTGGACCCTCCTCCTCCTGACCCTGCTCCTGCTCCTGCTGGTTGGCCTCCTGCATGTGGATGTGGAAATGCTCACACCGTGAGTGCTGCATTGGGTGCTCTGTGGTCTGGGCACGCTCCCTCCCAGACAAGTACAGGGCCCCAGCCTGCCTATCTCCAAGCATTGGCCAGTGACCGGGGCAGGTCACATCTCCTAGATGGGGTGGGCCCTTCCTTTTGGGGACCCATTAGCTTACTGAGGCCCTCCCAATGAGTCCTCTGGGCAGTGAGGAGGACTCTGGGAGGGGGGGGCCTGGGCCTGGGCTGCGGGTATCTTGGGAAGAGCTGCTGTGTGCAGAGGGTGACCAGGTGGTGGGAGGCAGGGTAAGGGCCTAGGTTCGGGGAGATCAAGACCCCTGCTCCCTGCCTGCCAGTGGTATGTCCTCTGTGAAGCCCAGGGCCCATGGGAATGGCCACACAGGCCCAGCACTTTAGCCTGGCTGCTGGGAGGGTTTTGTGGCCCCAGGCCTTCTCCTCCTGCCCTTACCGCCAATGTTGGTTGGATCTCCTTGGGATATGGGGGAATGCCAAAGTCCCTGGGTCTCTTTGCTACCCCCACCTCCTCACTGTCCCCAGGGCCAGTGCAGGCCTCTGGACCCTGCCTTCCTCCCCCATCCTGGGTCCCTCTTACTGGCCCTGCTTTGGGGCCTTGCTGCTCCAGGCTGGAATCCACCGCTGGGGGCACCAGCCTCCACTCTTGCCCTGCGGTCAGGTTGGCCCATCCTGATATGACGGATCAGCCAAGAAATGCCAGACACATGGCTCAGACCACAGGGCCAGCACCATGTTAGGTGCCCCAGGTGCCAGACAAGAAGTTGGGGGCCCAAGAGGGGTGCCAGCGTCTAGGGGTCCAGCCTGCAGTACATGAGGGGCAGATGATGCAGCCACTTAGGGAGAATCATGTTTGTGCCAGTGGGTCCTTGGGGGCTGCAGGGTGGGGGGGTCTCTAGGTTAGAGGGACCACAGAGATGAGGCTGGGAGGGTTGGGATGTCACCACTATGGGAAGTGCGGATTGGGGGGCTGCTGGGTTGAGGTCATGTAGTTGGGGGAGCAGGTTGGGGGTCGCTGGGTCATGCAGCTGGGAGGTTTGCTAGGTTGGGGTCTCTCCCAGTGGGGATTTCCGGTTGGGGGTGAAGGGGAGGCGGTGTCCCTCACTGATGGCAGCATGCTGTCCTCCCAGCCTACTCCGGGGCCAGACTGAGGGGCTGCCCGTCACCAACATCATGTTTCTCAAGACGCACAAGACCGCCAGCAGCACGGTGCTCAACATCCTCTTCCGTTTTGCTGAGAGGCACAACCTGTCGGTGGCGCTGCCAGTCGGCTCGCGCTTCCACCTGGGCTACCCCTGGCTCTTCCTGGCGCGCTACGTGGAGGGCATGGGGCAGGATGGCCCACAGCGGCACTTCAACATCATGTGCAACCACCTGAGGTTTAACCTGCCCGAGGTGTGGCTGGGGGCGTGCCCTCTGCAGGTGGGAGATGGGGCGTGATGGAGGGGCAGGACTCAGCCGCAGGCCTTGAAGGCACTTTGTGGCATGACCATGCGGCGAGGGGTCAGGCCTGGCCACTGGAGAGACTGTGGGGTGTGTACAGGGACGTGGCTAGAGGGGGCTGGTAGCTGTCCATTGGAAGACCCTGCCACTCCAACCTCCACTTCTAGTGGCCTGCAACTGCTCTTGGAATCAGATAGGGTGCCCTCACAGCCTGCCGCCATCTCCTCCTTCTCCAGATTCCTCTTGTTGCCAACCCGCACAGTCTTCCCACCCCAGGACCTTTGCATGTGCTATCATCCCCTTCAGTGTGATGCTCTTCACACCTCCTCTTGTGGGTCATTTGGGTCTCAGATTCTTAGAGATCACCTCCTCCTGGGGGCTTCCCTGACTTCCCTTCCAGGAGAGAGGCGGGGAAGTGGAGGGAGTTTGGGGGAAGGGCAGGGCCAAGTTCAAGTGTTTTAGGATCATTCTGGACACTCGTGGAAAGTGGCAGTCAGGGGAGCAAGGTAGCGTGGACGAGATGCAGGGAAGCCAGTGGGAGAGGTGGTGGGCAGGATCAGGTGTGCAGTGGGGGATGGGTGGTGTGTGTGTGTGTGTGGGGGGGGGGGGTGAGGACACCTGCCCCCTGAGCTTCTGGAAGAAGCCCGGGGCGTCACCAGCCCTCATTCTGTCTCCTCACAGGTGCAGAAAGTGATGCCCAACGACACTCTATACTTTTCCATCCTCAGAAACCCCATCTTCCAGCTGGAGTCCTCCTTCACCTACTACAGACGCGACGCGCCCGCCTTCAGGGCCGCCCCGAGCCTGGACGCCTTCCTGGCGGCCCCGCACACCTACTACAACCAGAACCTGAGCAACGCTTACGCCCGGAACCACATGTGGTTCGACCTGGGCTTCGACCCCAACGCGCCGGTGGAGGAGAGCTACGTCCGCGCGCGCCTGGCCGAGGTGGAGCAGCGCTTCCAGCTGGTGCTCATCGCCGAGCACTTCGACGAGTCCATGGTGCTGCTGCGGCGCCGGCTTCGCTGGCGGCTGGACGACGTGGTCTCCTTCAAGCTCAACTCGCGCAGCCAGCGCACCGTCACCCGCCTGACGCCCGAGGGCCAGGAGCGCGCCAAGCGCTGGTGCGCCCTGGACTGGCACCTCTACCAGCACTTCAACCGCACCTTCTGGGCCTCAGTGCGCGCCGAGCTGGGCCCACGGCGACTGCGCTCCGAGGTGGCGAGGCTTCGGGCGCGGCGGCGTGAGCTGGAAGCCCTGTGCCTGCAGGACCGCGCGCCCAAGAACAAGACGCAGATCACCGACCGCAGGCTGCAGCCGTTCCAGTCCGGGGAGGCCAGCATCCTGGGCTACAACCTCAGGCAGGGCTTGGACAACGAGACGCTGCGCATGTGTCAGCGGATGGTCATGCCCGAGCTCCAGTACATGGCCCACTTGTACACCCTGCAGTTCCCCGAAAAGCCCCCCAAGGACATCCCCTTCCTGAAGGCATAGCCCCTCCGTTTGATGCCCGTCCCTCTGCTGTCACGCTGGGAGGCCCTGGGCACGGCCTCAGGCTCCTAGCTGGGCTCCTGGGATTACAGCTGCCCACTCCCAGTGTCCAGTGAGGAAAACGCCTGCAGGGGGAGCTCATGTTGGACGCAGTCCCGGAAGAGAGCCTGTTTGTTGTTCGTGGGGAGGGACTGAGGGCGCCCTGCCTGGCAGGACATGATTCCTGGCTGCTTGGGGGCCCAGCGGTGAGAGTGGGATGCACACAGTCAGTGTCTTATGCCCTTCAAAACACGTGGTGCCCGGAGCGCTGGAGGAATAGCTGCTCTCACAGCTCAGCCTGGAGGCTCAGCCTGGCCTGCCTGCCCGGTGCTGGGGGCCCTTCCTTTCCCCTCAGGACCTCCAGCTCAGAGGACCTGGCAGCTGGGCTGGGCACCTGCAGCGGGTGCTCCTGTGTGTAGGTATGTCCACACTTTTCAGGTGAATCAGCATTTCAAAGAAGGGGAGCCCCCCAAATGATCAGAACAGGAGGCAGCCGCTCCCTGGAACACTGGGAACTGAGGACGTGGCCCTTGTCTTCTCCCAGGAGGGGCAAACTTTTCCAAAGTGATTTTTCAGCCACAGAGCAGGGTACAAAACAAGCTTTCCTAGTACCATGGCTTGTTAGGAGGACACTCCTCACGGCACTACCACCAGGTGACTTCAGCTCGTTAGGAAAACCTGGTCCAGTTAAGACAGGTCAGTAAGCCAGGGGAAGTAGGAGAGGAAAATTGAGACAAATATTTAAATGACCTAGCAGTTTAGCCAGCTAGTAAATCGCAAAATCCTATATTCCGTAACCAACGACACCTAAGAGTAAATGGTTTACCCTTCTTCGTAATCAGAGGGTATACAGCTTAAATGACTCCTCAGAGAGGTAGATAACAGAAACCCAGTTAGTACAGTTCGTACCAACCACACCCAAGGATATGAATTTGCCCGGCCTGGCGTGGTTCAGTGGTTGAACACTGACCTATAAACCAGGAGATTGTGGTTAGATGCCCAGGTTGCAGGCTCGCTTCCCAGTGGGGGTTGTGCAGGAGGTAGCAGATCAATGATTCTCTCTCATCATTGATGTTTCTATCTCTCTTTCCCTCTCCCCTCCTCTCTGAAATAAAAAAATAAAAAGAAATTAATCTCGCCGAAACCGGTTTGGCTCAGTGGATAGAGCGTCGGCCTGCGGACTGAAAGGTCCCAGGTTCGATTCCGGTCAAGGGCATGTACCTGGGTTGCGGGCACATCCCCAGTGGGGAGTGTGCAGGAGGCAGCTGATCGATGTTTCTCTCTCATCGATGTTTCTAACTCTCTATCCCTCTCCCTTCCTCTCTGTAAAAAATCAATAAAATATATTTAAAAAAAAAAAAAAAAAGAAATTAATCTCATTTTGGTACATCACCATAAATCTGATGAATATTCTGTTGAAATCCTCTCCTATGCCCTGGCCGGGTTGCTCATTTAGTTAGAGTGTCTTCTCAATATGCCAAAGTTTCGGGTTCGGTTCCCAGCCAGGGCACATACAAGAATCAACCAGTGGAGGCATAAATAAGTGGAACAACAAATCTATGTTTCTCTCTCTCTCTCTTTCTCTTTCTCTCTATCTTCCTCTCTTTCAAATTAATAATAATAATAATAATAATAATAATAATAATAGAGATCCTCCCCTAAGACTTCTCCTAAACTCCCAGCCTTTAAAACCCTTAAAACACAGGACCCGGTGTGAACTTTTCTTCCTGGAGCATGCCAAGCCTCATCCTTCCTCCTCTTCTTCCCCCACAGGCATGCACCTCCTAACCTCTAAGGGTGCCATGCGACGTGCAGCCAGGGAGCAATGGGCAGTGGCAGCTCATCCAGGGCTCACCCTGAACCTGAACCCGAGGCCTCCTTGTCTCTGACTCTCCAGTGAGCTGACAGCCGGCCTGGGCTCGCTTGTTTCCCCTAAAGTTCCTAGAGAGCCAAAGCAGCCCCGCCTCGTCTCTCTCCTGCTGCTGCTTCTACCCTAAGCCCTCTCCTGTTTCACTGTCCCCAGCTTTAATGAACGTCCTCTCAAAATAAAAAGTAAAAAGAATGAGTTTTTAGTGAGATTCGAAGACATATTGCAGTGAATATGAAAAGAAAAGACAACACTTGGAAACGGAAAAAGTGACTTCCAAAAAACTGAACAGAGATGGTGAAGAACAGGACACTACAGAGCCAGGGTGAGCTGGGGCCCCTCTCCCTAACCCAGGGACAAGGCAGAAGGAATCCCTCGGGAACGCAGAGAAAGGGAACCAGACGCTCGACGAACGGCAAGGGGATGACAGGCGGCTCAGAAGGCCAGCAAGAGCCATGGATGAGAAACAATAGTCAAATGAGAAAAGACTCAGAAAAAATCCAGTGCCCCGAGCATCAGGCAGGCTCCGCCAAAACCCAAAGGAAGCAAGACCCAAACCGGGCCAGCCTGGGCCAGTGTGAACCCCGGATAAGGAGGGAAGCTGCTGCTTCTGAACCCAGAGCAGGTTGTAGGTTGTGTTGTAATGGGGGTGGGGGAGGGAAGCCTCCACCTCGGCACAGACACGTTCCATCCTCAGTGGCACAGAACCGAGACCACTGAGTCACCATAGAAATTCCATGGTGTTTGCTTGTGCCTTTGGGGTTGGCAGGAATATGAACCGGTACGGTTTTTGGAGGGAAACTTTGGGGTATTTATTACCATGTAAAGTGCTTGTGGTCTGTAATAAGAACTCAGAAATGACCAGTCCACCCACCCAAAAGGCCGAATATGTTGGCATCCTGTGCAGCTAGTGAGCTCAGAGCAAACCTCTGCCTAAACCTCCTTTTGGGGGCAGGTGAGGGGCTGCCTGCGGCCAGAGGGCATGTGCTTGTCTTACGGGGACTGGGGGATGGCCCTGGGGCTCACGGGAGTGGGCAGAGGTAACAGGTGCCCGTCCCAGAAGCCTCACAGAATGGGCGGCAGTCTTCCTGGGGCCGTGCCTGTGCTGGGTGGTGAGGGGCTGTCGGCCATCAAGTAGGATGGTGGCCCACCCGCTCCTCTCCACCTTGTGGCCTTGTAAATCCCCTCCGGCCCTGAGGACCTGAAGGGACACAGCAGGGTTGTCATCTCCATGTGGACATCACCGGATGTCTTAATTTTCCCAGAGCCCATTTGTCCCTCAAATGGAGGGAGGGGCAGGAAAAGGAGGGGGCGGGGCCCTGAGGAGGCTGGCCCCTCAGGACCCTGATAGCACTCTCCCTGAGTTCTGGCCCAGGCAGCAGTCACCTGGGCAGCGGTCACCCATGCAGTGGCCATCCATGAAGCCACCTTGGAGATAGCAGTGGGGGAGTGGTGAGGGTGAATGGGGCCAGCTGGCAGGAGGAGGCCCTGGGAGGAGGCTGGTACTGGGGCGGGGGTGGGAGAGGTGGGATGCGGGCCTGCCTGCTGGGAGCCAGGCCCCGAGCAACAGACATGGGCTGGAGCCCAGCGAGGGCCCAAGTGGTTACATCCTGGAGGCCAAGGGAAGGGTCACGGAGTGTTATGTAGTTTGAGGCATCTCTGCAGGAGGCCTGAGGGCAACTGTAACCCCCCAACCCCAAGTCCCCAGCACCCCAGGGTGGAGCGGGTCAGCCAGAAGAGAGGAGCCCTGTGTGGCCCCGTCCTGACCCTGGCCCCCACCCTGAGTGCCCTTCTGCACCCCCTGGCTGCTCTGCTGCACCACAGCTGGCGGGAGGGTCCTGGGTTCTGACGCAGCGCTTGGATCAGGCCAGCTCCCGCCTCCTGCCTCCCACCCACACAGTAGGCCCTTGTCTCCACTCAGCTCGCTGGGTCCGAAGGCAGGCAGGCAGTCCTGTGGCCGCACCACAGCCCGCTGTGCGGCTTCCCTGCGGTGCCCGGTGAGTCCCTTCCCTGCTTCCCAGCCTCCCAGGTCCGGGACCCCGCTCCTTCCATCCTCCCTGGATGCCCCTCTTTGGGCTGAGGGCCATGGGCACGCGGATCCCCAGTGGGCAGTTTCCTGGCTCACGGGGCAGGTGTGACACTGAAGGGCCTAGAGGTAGATTCAGAGGATGGGATGGATGCAGACGGGGTGTCCAGTCCCCAGGACCAGGTGGGCCTGTGAGTGTTGCTCTACCAGGCAGAGGGGTGTGTAACTGAGTCATTGTCCGGACAGAGCACAGGGCAAGCAGGTTAGACTGGAGCCCCCGCAGGGGTGACAGAGCCAGGGCCCCTCTGCCTGGTTTCTACGCAAAGAGCCTTGGCTCCTCCTGTGCGGCATTTCAGCAGGTGAGTGGCCCAGCAGGATAGGTCCAAAGGATAAGAGAGGTGCTGACTCAGAAGGGAGGTGTGGGCCGGATGACCTGCCCTAGCCCAGTGCTCCAGGGCGAGCCCAGACAGGACCGGCTGCAGGCAGGTCTAGGGTAAGCCTCTTGGAGGCAGAATAAGCCCCGACAACTTGCCCGGGATCCAGGGTCAGGGGACCAGGTTCTCTTGGAGGTCCCATGGCCGCCCTGGGCCTCAGCTTCCCTTCTGCAATGTGCTGCCCCCGAGAAAGGCCCCCCTGTGGGGGTAGATGGGCACCCAGACTTTAAAAAGTTTCTGGTTCCAGTTAATGTTCAGATGTAGCCATCTAGTCAAGTCAAAGCCCCAGAATCTGCTGAACTGGCCACACTGGGAAGGGCCAGCTGCCTGGGAGACATGGTACTTCCTCCTACAATGGGGGCCTCCCCAGAACTTTGGGGCTCTGGTCGGGGCAAGGACACTCCAAGTACTGGGCAGGCCTGCCCTGCTCTGTGCAGCAAGCAGACGTACCAGCTGGTCTCGGGAGCCTCCCTCTGCCGCTCTGTCCTCAGGCCAGGCGTGAGCCTGGGCTGCCTGCTATGCTGATACCAGCTCGGGTGGTCCCAGGCCCTGGGGAGGGAGCCAAGTGGAGAGAATGTCCTGCTGTGTCCATTCAACCCAGAGGGACATGTGACACCCACACCTGCTTCCTGCTTTCAAGTTCAATACACTGGGCCTCAGTGCACAGACTAGAGCTGCCCGCCCCCTGCCCCCCCCCCCCCCCGCCCCCATCTCCTGTGGCTCCTCTCTGCTGGGATGGGGCAGGGGCAGGGGCAGGACCGTAGGATGGTGGCCTCTCTGGCCACCGTGGGGTCCCTCTCACTGCTCCTCTGGCCTACATCATTCCTAGGTCTCTGAGGCACGTGAGGGAGCTATTGGGGGCCCCTGTGGGTGGCAATGGCTCTGTTGGACCTCCCAGGACCCCCAGCCTCTCTCAGGAGCCCAAGGGACAGGGTGGCGGGTCACCTGCCCCCCAGATGTCCCTCCAGGCCCCTTCTCTGCAGACCTGCTGGGGCCACCTTGGTCAGCAGGTGATCCCCACCTCTCTGGGCTACTCCCCAGAACCTCCTGAATCTGGTGACCCTGCAGGTCTGAGAAGAGTGGTGGCAGCAGCTAGGGTGCCTTCCTCCCGTGTGTGAAATGTGACTGTGTGTTTGCCTCCCAAGTGTGTATCTGTGGGTATCTGTGGGGATGTGTGTGCATCTGCATGTGTCTGTTTCGTGTGTGAGTCTCTCCCTGTGTTGTTGTTGTTCGTTTTTGATGGTGTATCTGTTTCTGTGCTTCTCTGTGTTTGTGAGGCTGGCCCCCGAGGTGGTGGGGCCCCTGTTTGAGGACAGTAAACCCCTCCTTGTCCAAAGCGTTGGGTCCTGATTGTCCACCTGGCTGGCCTCCTGGGCAGGTGGTGCTGACCTGCCCCAGGCGCACAGGCGTGTAGGGTGAAGGGGCTCGGGCCAGGCGCCCTGCTTTCCCTCTGTGGGCTCTGTTGACAGCAGGAAGGGGCCAATTTGGGGGTGCGGTGGCCGTGAAGAAGAGGTGGGCAGGGAGCCTGGGCCGGGGCGGTTGGAGGTGGGTACAGGGAGGCGCCTGGCGTGGTTCCGCGCGTCTGCACCTACAGAGCCTCTCCACCATCAGTCGGAGAGAGGGGAGTGTGCCTGACCCTGACCGCTGATCCGCTGGCCTTGGGCCCGCAGGGCATGGGGGCGCCCCGAGTCCCCACGCGGACCGCGCTCTTCCAGAGCGAGAGGAGCGGCCTGACCTACCGCGTGCCCGCGCTGCTGCCCGTGAGCCCCGGGCCCACCCTGCTGGCCTTCGCGGAGCAGCGGCTCAGCCCCAACGACGCGCACGCCCACCGCCTGGTGCAGAGGTGCGGCACGCTGGCGGGGGGCTCCGTGCGGGTGAGTGGCCTTGCCGGGGCGGGGGGGGGGGGTGCCCCGTGCGGACGGGAAACTGAGGCGGCCCCCCTCCCCCACCCCTCCCCCTTCCCGGCAGTGGGGCGCCGCCCAAGTGCTGGGCACCGCGGCCCTGGAGGAGCACCGGTCCATGAACCCCTGCCCCGTGCACGATGCACGCACCGGCACCGTCTTCCTCTTCTTCGTGGCCATACGCGGCCAAACCCCCGAGCTGGCGCAGATCGCCACGGGCAGGAACGCCGCGCGCCTCTGCTGCGTGACCAGCCGGGACGCGGGGCGCACGTGGGGCAGCGCGCGGGACCTCACGGCGGAGGCGGTGGGCGCCACGGAGCGGGGTAGGTGGGCACCGGGCGCGCCGGTAGACACCTGGGGGCGGGTCTGCACGGGGTGGGGTGGATCCTCATGGCTGGTGCGGGCTAGGGGTCCCTTGGCTGTGGCCCCCCCCCGCCCCCCCCCCCCCCCCCCGCAGCCTAAGGACCATGGAGGCTGTACCATCCTCGACCCCTGAGTCCGCAAACGGGTGTTGGTCAGGCCAGAAGGAGCAGTCTGTTCGTCTTCCTGAGCTGTGTCTTCATCTGAGCCCCCAAACCCCCAAGGCCTCCCTGCTTAACCACTTCCTCCTCCGCCTCCTCAGCAGCGGTTGCAGGCAGGGTGACCTTACCACTGCCTCAGGGGCCACCCCACCCTGTCAGGGGGCGGCTCTGAGACCTGGAGCTACTCAACGAGCTACCGGGTGGGTGTGGACCCAACCCCGGGGACTGGCCCAGCCTGGAGGGGCTACCCAGTCCCGAAGCTGCACACACTCCACCTCCCCCGTGGCCACCTGCTCACATGCCGAGAACCTGGCCAAGTGGCCGCCCGGGCTCCCACTCCTGCTAATGTTCTCAGGAGGCTTGTCCAGCCCCAGAGGACTCACGGTGGCTTGAAGGAGTGGAGGGCAGAGGCCGGGTCAAGGGGTGGCTCCCTCACAAACTGCTCCCTGATCCGGCACTGCACCCATCCTCCCCACCACCTGCGGCTGCGGCTGTGGCTGTCCGCTCCTGAGGTAACCAGCAGCCCCTCCCGTCTGCAGACTGGGCCACGTTTGCCGTGGGCCCAGGCCATGGCATCCAGCTGCGCTCGGGCCGCCTGCTGGTGCCGGCCTACACCTACCACGTGGACCGGCGGGAGTGCTTCGGCAAGATCTGCAGGACCAGCCCGCACGCCTTCACCTTCTACAGCGATGACCATGGCCAGACGTGGCACCATGGCGGCCTCCTGTCGAACCTGCGCTCGGGCGAGTGTCAGCTGGCTGTGGTGGACGGAGGGCAGGCGGGCAGTGTCCTCTACTGCAATGCCCGGAGCCCCCTGGGCAGCCGTGTGCAGGCCCTCAGCACAGATGAGGGCACCTCCTTCCTGCCGGGAGAGCTGGTGCCCACCCTAGCCGAGACGGCCCGGGGTTGTCAGGGCAGCATCCTGGGCTTCCCAGCCCCACCCTCTAATAGGCCTGGCGATGAGGGATGGTCAGTGGGCTCCAGGAAGACTCCCTTTCCTCCAAATCTCTGTCCTGGAGCCCATGAATCCCCGAAGGAGGGGGCTGGAGACACCCAAAGGGGTGGGGGGGTTGGTGGGACTAAGGGACATGGGGACGGGGCAGAGGGATCAGGGGACCCTAGCCCAGGGCCTGAGCTCAGTGAGGACAGGAGCGCCTGGCCCCTGCAGCTCCCTAGGCTCCCTGCTGCCCTGCCTCAGAGCCCCACGTGGCTGCTGTATTCCCACCCAGCGGGACGCAGGGCTCGGCTCCACATGGGTGTCCACCTGAACAGGTCCCCCCTGGACCCCCACAGCTGGACGGAGCCTTGGGTGATCTACCAGGGCCCCAGCGGCTACTCTGACCTGGCATCCATCGGGCCCACCCCTGAGGGCGCCCTGACCTTCGCGTGTCTATATGAGAGTGGAGCCAGGGTGTCCTACGAGGAGATCTCCTTCTGCGTGTTCTCCCTGCGCGAGGTCCTAGAGAATGTGCTTCCGGGCCCCGAGCCAACCGGCCTGGGGAGCAAGCCTCGGGAGCAGTGCTGGCCCTCCTGAAGGGCCCTCTGACCAGGCCTGGCCAGGTGCACCCAGGAGGAGGGGGAGGGCAAGGGCCTGGGTGGAGCTCTGGGTGATCCCGCAAGAAGCACCTTTGACCTTTGACTTCTTCATGGAGAGCCCTGAGGGTAGGTCTTCATGAAGGACCCTGTATAAGGACACAGAAGTTCAGTTTTTTTTTTTTTTTTTTTAAATATATTTTATTGATTTTTTACAGAGAGGAAGGGAGAGGGATAGAGAGTCAGAAACATCGATGAGAGAGAAACATCGACCAGCTGCCTCCTGCACACCTCCTACTGGGGATGTGCCCGCAACCCATGCACATGCCCTTGACCGGAATCGAACCTGGGACCTTTCAGTCCGCAGGCCGACGCTCTATCCACTGAGCCAAACCGGTTTCGGCGAAGTTCAGTTTTAATACTGTCAGATAAGCAGGCATTGAGAAGAGCTCACAGCTGGAAGCCAAGGGAGGTGGGCTCTCAGCCTTGTAGGGGCAGGCGATGGGCCGTGGGCAAGGGTGACTCGGATGCTTGGACTCGAGCAAGGTGCTGCACTGTCCTGGTGTTTGGCTCTTTAATCTCACTCTGCTTTCTGGTTTCTGGATGGGAAATAAAGGGGTTGTGCATTCACGTCCAGAGACGTTTCTCTTGAGTTCTTTCCCTACCAAAGCCCTGATGAGGGCACCCAGTTCTCTAGCTCACTTCTCTGACACCAGTCCCCAATCTTGTTGCATCGTCTGCTCCCTATCCCCACCCCACTGGCCAAACTCTCCAAACCCTGGGGCGTCAGAGGTGGGGGCAGGGTGAGGGCAGGAAAAGCAGGTCTCAGTAGGGCAGCCCCCAGGGCTGTCTGGTCTGCAAATGTCCCTGCGTGTCTGCATTTCCCATTGGAGTGTAGCCTGCAGGGTCATCTCCCAGGACCTGCCCCCTGTTTCCTCATGGAAGCACCTTTTTATTTCTTCTTCATTTTTGGTTATAAAAATAAAATATGCTTGTCCTAGACTGTTTGGCTCAGTGGATAGAGCATCGGCCTGCGGACTGAAGGGTCCCAGATTCAATTCCGGTTAAGGGCACGTACCTCGGTTGCAGGCTCAATCCCCACCCCGGGGCATATGTGGGAGGCAACCAATCCATATGTCTCTCTCACATCAATGTTTCTCTCTCTGTCTCTTCCCCTCTCTTCCACTCTCTCTAAAAATCAATGGAAAAATATCCTCGGGTGAGGATTAACAACAACAACAAAAAATATGTTAACTGTAGAAAATTTTGGATATGTAGGAAACTATAAAGACAAAATAAAAATGTGCCCTGGCAGGGTAGCTCAGTTGGCCAGAGTATTGTCCCCATATGCCACAGGTGTGGGCTTGATCCCTGGTCCTGGCACATACAAGAATTAACCAATGAGTGCATAAATAAGTAGAACAACAAATCTCTCTCTCTCTCTCTCTCTCTCTCTCTCTCTCTTTCTCTCAAATCAATAAAAATTTAAAAAAAAATGATCCCATATGACACTCCCCCCGCCCCCATGCCAAGCCATAACCATGATGTTCCTTTTGGTGTTTCTGACTTTTTCTTCTTTTAAAAAGATTGACTGTGTTTTAGCTTTCCTGTCACACTCCAGTCATCTATCTTTTGTGCCCGCCCCCCAGCCTGGACATAATTTCTTTACAAGGCCTCTGCTGGGTAACTTGCCCAAAAGGTGGGGGCATCCAGGGAGCTTTGGATGCTGCCTAGGGAACTCAGGCAGCCAGTCCCCATGGGAGCAAGGTGGCCCCTCATCACTTACCTTCATTCTCAGTCCCCTATAAGCATGGCTACCTTTCTGGAGTCACCTCTGGGCTCCAGGCAGCGGCAGGACAGGAGCTTGGATCCAGGGCCTGTCAGTGGCCTGAGCCTGCCTGCACTCACCCAGGGACCCCAACTCAGGCCAACCACCCCTTCTGTGCATCCCAGGGGGACAGCCAGTCTGGAGCTATAGAACTTACAGGTGTGTGTGGCCCATGTCCTGCCATTCAGTGCTGGACTGGGTGAGTAATGCCTCCCAAATTCATGTCCACCCAGAACCTCAGATTGTGACTTATTTGGAAATAAATTCTTTACAGGTGTGATTAAGATAAGGGTTGAGATGAGATCACCCTGAATGAGGTCCTAAGTCAGATGGGAGTGTCCTTAGACAGAAAAGGACACTCAGAGGAAGGCACTGAAGATGGAGGCAGAGACTGGGAGGAGCACCTGGGGCCCCGGAATTTGAGGCTGCAGGAAGGACCATCCTCTGGGAGCACGCCTGGCCACACCTTGGTGTCGGATTCTGGCCTCCAGAACTGGGAGAGAACGCCCACCTGTTGTTTAAGTGCCCGGTTTGTGACAACTTTTAGTTGGAATTTGACTTCTCACCAGAAACCATGGAAAATGGGAAACAATGGGGTGGTCCCTTCAAAAGTGCTGAGAGGAAATAGCCACCAACCTAGAATTCTATGCCTAGAAGAAGTATTCTTCAAGAACGAAGGAAAAATAGGGACGTTCTCACATCAGTAAAAAAGCGTTAGTTTGTCACCAGCAGACTCACTAAAGAAAGCGTGAAAGCTCGTTGTTTCAGCGGGGGGGGGGGGGGGGGGGGGGGGATGGTGACTCCAGATGGAACGTCACGGGACAGCCGCGGCAGTGCACACAGTTGATAAATCTGGATGAACCTGACTGTGTGAACCGACAGTGATTCCTCAGGAGGTTGCAATGTGTATAGACTTAAATATGGAATCAGAGCAGCATTAAGCTGAGTGGGCAGCAAATGGGACGGAAGCGCTCAGAGATCCTTGTCCTGGAAGGAACTCTTACCATTTGCACCGTCATGGATGGAACTGGAGAGCATTATGCTAAGTGAAATAAGCCAGTCAATGAAGGAAAAATACCACATGATCTCACTCATTCATGGATAATAGAGACCATTATAAACTTTTGAACAATAATAGATACAGAGGCAGAGCTGCCTCAAACAGATTGTCAAACTGCAGCGGGAAGGCCGGGGAGGGTTGGGGGGCAGGAGGTAGCGGGGTAAGAGATCAACTAAAGGACTTGTATGCATGCATATAAGCATAACCAATGGACATAAGACACTGGGGGATAGGGGAGGCTAGGGGACTGTCTAGGGCGGGGGGATAAAATGGACACATATGTAATACCCTTTGTAATACTTTAAGCAATAAATAAAAAAAAATAAAAAAAAAAAGAGATCCTTGTCCTGCCCAAGGAGAGGGGAATGCACCATGCGTGTTGGCCAAGGCCGGGTTCTGGGTCTCTAGGGCAAATGCTGAAAGAACAGCAAAACTGGATAATCACCAAATTAATAGAGGTGACAAACGGGAAAATAAGATAGAAAGGGATCAATTTCAAAAAGGCAAGGAATGAGAGAAAATACATACCGAACTGGTAAGATAAAGAGAAAAAAAATATTAAGAAGCCAATCGAAATACAAGCATATCAGAATTACATTAATGTAAATTGACTCACATTCCTATTAACAGACAAAATGGTCATGGCTGAAAGCAAAACAACAATGGTAAACCCCACCCCAAACCCAGCAATATCCCCCTGACAGCGGACAGAAGATGTAAAGAGAAAGGTTGGCGCCTGAAAGAAAAAACAGCCCAGGAAACACGCAGATGAACAGCTGGTGGCGCTGTGTTTCTATCAGGCAAGGACCTTGCAGCCAAACCATGACTAGTTATATAAAGGGACACGTTTCAAAATTACAAACGTTTGACTCTAGAGAACATTCTAGCAGTATTACGTTTGTTTGTACCCAATATTATGCCTCAAAAAGTGAAACAAAAATGGACAGATCTATTGGGGAAAATAGACCCACAATTATAATAGCAAGTTTTAGACACGAGTCAGTAACTGACAGAGCTAGCAGACAAAAATAAGATCAGTAGGGACAGGGCAGGTGTGGCCAACTTGCCTAACAAGCCAAACTATATTGACACCTGCAGACAGGGCACAAAACACCTGCAGGAGGTGCCATCTTTCCAAACACACCAAGATACAAAATCAAATCCCTACAGACTTCAAAGACTTGAAAAACCACAGTGAAATTGAGCCAGAAATTAAACAAAGGATAATTAAACATCTTCATATGTTCAAGAATTTAGAAACAGTATTCTAAATAACTCACAGTTCAAAGAAGCCATAGTGGAAGTTAGAAGAGATTTTGAAATTAATCATGCAAACACTACATAAAACTGTGGGATGATGCTGAAACCAGGATTAGAGGGAAATGCACGTGTTAGAACGGAAGAAAGGTGACTGTCCTGCTCTCTCGAGAAAAAGGCCAGCAAATTCGGTCCAGACAAAGCAGAAGGAAGAAATGATAAAGAGCAGAGCAGTGGGATAGGAAAATCCCACAAGAGAGCAAAGAAAGCCAAAGGCTGGGTTTTGAAAAAAACTAATAAAATCGACAAACCCCTGATAAGGCTGGTCATGAAGAAAGGAAGAAAATAGTCCAGCTGAAGTGGCTTAGTTGGTTGACCATTATCCCATGCACCCAAAGGTTGCTGGTTCGATTCCCAGTCAGGGCACATACCTGGGTTTCGGGTTTGATCCCCATCAGGGAAGGTACAGAAGGCAACTGATATCTCTCTCTCTCTCTCTCTCTCTCTCTCTCTCTCTCTCTCTCTCTCTCTCTCAAAATGCCCACAAATAACCAATGCCAGGAATGAGAAAGGACACGCGGGACCCTACAGACACTCAAAGATTTCAAGGGGACTTGAGAAGCAACTTTATGCTAATAAATTTGAAAATTTAGATAAAATGGACACGTTTTGGAAAAATATGACATTAGAACTGACACAAGCTGAAAGGGGAAATCTGGAGAATCTTGGTAAAGAAATGGAATCCATAATTTAAAATCTGCACACTAGGAACACTCCAGGTGTCTGTGGCTTTCCTAGCAAATCCTGTCAAACCCTAAGAATGGACCAGCACATGTCGTGTGTCCCTGGGGAGAGCTCGGGGCTGACACTCTGGGCGCTGCTCCTGGGAGGAGAAACCATCGAAGAGCCAAGGAATTAGGTACATTTTAAGAAGTAAAGTTCAAAAAGTATACTAACACAACACCTAAAGCACAATCCATGAAAGGGCAATTTGATGAGAACAGTTGACACAACACGTTAAGAGAATGAAAAGACAAGCCA